CCTTCTTGGCCGTTTGTTAGTATGTTTAGACTTGGTGTATGCGTTTATATTGCGTCGTCTTTTGCTTAATTACGCTTAAGTTACTGGCTTTTTTTCTTCCAAGCTTTAAAGTCAAGTTAGTTAACGTCTAGGGGAGTATTGGCTTCAGGAGTAGAATTTAGTGAGTCGGCACTTCCACACAACACCGGGCGCTCATCCCAACAGGTGCCCTCAATGCCCATCCCCCATCTAGCCCATCCCCCACCCACCTGCCTCCAGCACCCTCAGCTGGTTGTCCAGAGTCCAGGGCCTTCTTATGCCTTGCCTCTTGGTAAACTGACGACTTAATTAATAGCGGAGTGGGGCTGTAGGGATCAGCCAGCCCCTTGTTTTCTTTTTTAAAAATAGCGCTATTGAGCTGCAACTGCATAAATACAATTGACCCACTTGAAGCTACAATCCCCTGGTTGCCGGTATCATCACAAGTGGCACAACCGGCAATTTGAGAACATTGTCATCAACCTTGGGAGAACCCCCTGCACCGGTTAGCGGTCCCTTCCCATTGCCCCCTGGCCCCAGCTGTGGCAACACCCATCTACTTTCTGCCTCTCTAGATTTGTCTATTCTGGACATTTCTATCCGCGGAATCACACAGCGTGTGGCCCTTTGTGTTGGGCTCGGTTCACTTAGCATACTGTGTTCACCACCCCCCCGCCTTGCAGCAGGTACCCCTACCTCAGCCCTTTCTACGAGTGTGTAATCTAGCGTCGTACGCATCGTCTATCGCATATTTCTTCATCCGTTGGTGAACAGTTGGGTCGTTTCAATGCCAGCACATTCTATGGGAGGAAGAGAGAGCGGCGGCTAACTAGGAATCAGCCGAGGTGCGGGTCAAGTGAGTGCAGATGTTCTTCCTGCAAAAACTAGTTCGAACTACGCTTTCAAACCGCATCATTTCCCCTTAGCTTATGCGTTCTCAGCCCCAAACACGGCACGTCGCAGCCTGAGTGTGAGAGAAATCGGCCACGGGAAATGTGGGAACGGAAGGGTGAAGACAAGCCGAGGAAAGTGAGGTTTCCAGCTCTAAAGTGACCGTCCCCAGTCCCCTCGCTGAGGCAGAGAACCAGCGCGGAATGGAGCCCCCCCCCCCCCCCGTTCTGCCTGCCACCATCGCACCAGCCACGACCTCCACACTTGAAACCCTGGCATCAGGAAGGGGCCCCAAATGAAGGAAAACGACCTTGACGAGATGATGATTAGGGACTGTCCTGGGAATGTACCTGGGTAGGAGGGGGCCGGACACAGACCTCGCGCTAAATCGGCCCAGTGAGCTTGAATAGAAACCTTACCGTCCGTGGCTGTGGGCGGCACCGCCCTCCTGCCCCACGTCGTATCGACCGGCCATAAACAAGGATTGCGAAGCTCAGGCAGCAACTAGGAGCCGTCCGAGCACGATGAAAGGAGTCCGCCTTATCCGGACGAAGCTGAAATTAAGCCTGAAGGGAACAGTGTCCAGGGAGCTGGAATCGACCAGATGCACACTCAGCCTTGCCCTTGTGGTGATGAGTCCCAGCAAGGACTCTGCTGCTTGTTGCCAAAAACATCCTGATCACATTCCATGCCAAGCCATCGAAGGGCTGGGAACTAGCCGCGTTAACTTATCCGAAGTGTGGAAGGAAAAGCAAAGTGTTTAAAGGATGCTTCTGCACAGAGCTCCGGAACTGTGACCTCTGTTGTCCTTCAGGACCCGCTCAGTACCGTGAGCGCTCTGTCCTCACACGGGTCCCACGTTATACCACTCCGTGGTTGTCGTTTCCATGGCTCCCACCACACGTGACACTGTCTGTGAAAGCAGTAAGTAAGCGCTAATTCTACATCCAGGATCGCTCCCGCGTGTCCACGCCTCACCTGCCAAGTAGACCTAGGCGTCCCGAGAAGGAACTTGTCTTAGCGACTTCAACGTCTGCTCCAGCAGCGGCTGCGATCCCACAGAAACATCGGAACACCTACTATGTGAGGTGACACCAGGCTGAACACCTGGCAGAAAGTGCTGTCACTTTCTCCTCAAACCGAGGGAGCACGCAAGCATGAACTAGATACTTGACCGCTTATACCAATGGCCTGGGATTTTATTAAGGTAACTCTGCCGCAGCAGTAAGTGTACTATGTCTGTTATGGGGTAAGGAATAACTATTAATATGTATCGCTTTAATGCGCTGTATGTTTAAGAAAGTATGTAACTTTCAAAATTTTACCTTATGAGGAATCTGTGGCTTTTGAAGTAATTTTTGGTACCCTTTTATTTGCAGGAAACATAACCTCGTAATACCTGTTTTATTTATTTTTTTTAAGTTTATTTTGAGAGACAGAGTGTGAGTGGGGCAGAGGCAGAGAGAGGGAGAATCTCAGGCTGTAGTGCAGAGCCCAACGTGGGGCTCGAACTCATGAACCATGAGATCGTGAGCTGAGCCAAACTCGGACATTTAACCGATGCTTAACCGACCGAGCCACCCAGGGGCCCTCGCAATATGTTTTAAATCTGGATACATATTACATTTTCACGGAGGGGGATACCTCTGGGATCCCGAGAATGCAATGAGCTACGTTTTAGACTAGGGAGCACAGAGGCCCAATTACAATCTTAATTTTCCTCTAGTGGGACTCGCGTATTTTGTAAACTATATGTCACCCTGCCCTGAGACTGCTACCTGCCTTGTCCCTCTAGAGATTTTAGATAATAGGAGCTTGCTTAGAGCAAGCGCTCCAGTACCTCCTGGTCCTTCCAGTGAACCCAGCTCAGGGGGAGACCCTGCTGTTCCCTGGTACACAGCCTCTCCTTGGGGGAGGGAGGGCGGACCTCACATGTTGAGGGCTAACTCCCCATGCGATGGTATCAGGAGGCGGGGCCTTTGGGAGGTGCTTAGGGCATGAGGGTGGGGCCCCGTGATGGGATCGGTCCTCCTAAGGGAGACTCCAGCCAGAGCTCTTGCCCCTTCCGGTGAGGACCCACGAGAAGACGGCCTGCTGTGCACCAGGAAGCCGGCCCTCCTCACCAGACGCCGAATCTGTGGCGCCTGGATCTCGGACCTCCAGCCTCCGAAACCGTAAGCTGTAAATTTCTGCAGTTTCTAAGTGGCCCAGTCCACGGTATTTGCTAATAGCAGCCCGAACAGGTCCAAACAGGTTTAGTCTTCTTTTTAAGGCCGAGAAAGCTGAGGCCCAGAGGTGTCAAGATCGCACAGCAAGTGAAGGGCTGAGCTGCCGCTCTGCTTTCAAGACTCGCATTTGATTTTTTTAAACTGAAGTGTCACTGACATGTGCCATTAGTTTCAGGGGTACAGTCAGTGTAAGGCCTGAGATGTGTAGCTGTCGGAAATGGTCCGCACAGTAAGTCTCGTTAACATCCATCACCGCAGGTACAGGTTTTTTCTTGTGATGGGAACTTGATGCAAATCTGCAATACAGTATTGTCTATAGTCCCTGTGCTGTACGGTGCATCCTCGGGACTGATGAGTGAGTGAGATTTGAACCTCTCGTCCCCCTTCACACATTTCACCCACTCCACGTTTGACAGTCACTAATCTATTCCTCTGTATCTACGGGCTTGGCTTTTTGTTTTTTTTTTCTTTCAGATTCCACATATGAGATCATATGCTATGTGTCTTTCTCTGATTTCACTCGGCATAATGCCCTCAAGGGCCATCCGTGTTGTCACAAATGGCAAGGTTTCCTTCTTTTAAGCTGAGTGACAGCCCATTGTCTCTACCATATTTTCTTTCTTCACTCTTCTGCAGGCGGACGCTTCGGTTGTTTCCATGTCCTGGCTATTGCAAATAATGCTGCCGTGAACATGGGGGCACAGGTCTCTTCTGGAGGACATGCATTCTTCACCACCACACACGGAAATGACCCTTGGTACGAGTCCCATTGTCACCGCAGAGGTGAGGTATGAATTCTGCGGCTCCTCACTTAGGTAGGAAGGAATAACTGCTGGAGAATCAACTGTGTTGGTGACTCAGTAATCGGTACCTATATATTCAATTTATATTAAAAATTACTTAAGTGAACCTAAGCCCCCCACCCCCACCCCCTGATCACCACAGACTGTAAATTGGAATTCTAGAATTTGCTACCCTTTCATTTATAGACTGCCCCTTGAAAGACTGAGTACCTCGCCGATCGTGGCTGCCCCTTTTGCATGTCATATTCCTGGGATGATGCAGAGGGCAGAGCTCCCTAGACACAGGGAACTGCTAGGGAATGTTCCAGTGAAACACAGGAGCCGGGTTCCAACCCCACCTTGTTCACTAATACTTGCCCTAATGACCGGTGTTTGTTCCGATTCTGAATAGTGCGAATACCGGAGAGAGGACTTCATTTAAAACCTCGGAGGACATCCAAAATGGAGTTCACGTTCTAAGTGAATCTCGTGTTGGAGCGGAGAAGTGTTGACCCCCCAGTAGCCCAGGTATGACCCAGGCACAAGCGCTCTGACACCCGGCGGGCTGTGGCCTTTCCCAGGCGCGGTGGCAGGCTGCGATACGATGATCCCGTCAGCAGCCTTGCTTGACCGTGTGCCGCAGAGACTTTTGAGAAATAGTATAGGTCGGTCAACGGGGTGAACCCCTGCGTAGGACTGTTACAAGGCTTTGTTTCTCGTAACGATGCCTTATCCTACACTCGCTCAATAACACTTGGGACCAAAGAAATGGCAGCGGTCACTACTTTTCTCAGCAGTTTACAAAGATGTGACTCACAGGTGACAAAACGGCCGCCAGCAGGGAGACTATGGCGTCACTTCTGAACAGGTGATTTCTGTCTGGAGAAATGACCGTGAGATGTGAAAGTTACTTTTTTTTTTTTTTATTTTAATGTTTTATTTATTTTTGAGAGACAGAGACAGCGAGAGCAGGGGAGGGTCAGAGAGAGAGGGAGACACAGAATCTGAAGCAGGCTCCAGGCTCTGAGCTCTCAGCACAGAGCCCGACCTGGGGCTTGAACCCACAAGCTGTGAGATCATGACCTGACACTTAACCGACTAAGCCACCCCAGGCACCCCAGAAAGTTACTCTTAAAATCAAAACCTGTTAACCGTCAGCTTTATTTTATTTTAAAATATACAAATATTTTGACACGTAGAAGAGTTTAAAGTGGTTGGATTTCGAAAACGCCACACAATACCGACACGAGAGAAATCCAAATCACACGAATGGCCGCAGCTGGCCAGTTCCTTCTACCAACTTAACGTTACAGATTCAAGGGACATCAAACGGGTTAATATTACCAACGCTTAAGAGCAAGCCCAACAGAAACGTGCTGCTCTCAGCACAACAGCCCGTTGAGGACTCCCCGACAGAAAGCATTTCAACGGCAAACTTAGAGCTCCCTTCAAAAAACCAAAATCTGCACTGAGACAGTGAATTGATGCAAACATTCCGTATCCGGGAAAATACTCTTGTGAACTCTAACACTCAGCAGAACGGGACCCCGTCTCTGAGACGGACCGTCCTGGCGCTGGGACTTGCGCCAGCCCTCGAAGGTTCAGGGTAGGCTGATCGGAGGGCGGGCTTCAGGCAGGAGCGGAAATGGGACTCCCGGCAGGGAGGACCGGTCAGGTGTCATGGACGAGACCTGCTTGGGGAGCCGCGTTCCGTTACCAGGATGGCAGGGATCAAAATGCACATATTTAAAAAGTGAGAACGTCTATACCGGTGCGGGCCGGGCACTTGCCACACGCGAGGCTGCGGAGCTGAGACGCGCCTCAGGTTTGCCGAGCGCCTTCCCGGCGTGCCCCGGCGCGTTTTCCCAGGGGCGCGCCGCCGTACCGTGCGGACGCCGGGGCGCTGGCCGCTCTTCCCGGCGCGGCACCACCTGAGTACAAGGAAGAGCATTAGTTCACATATCCGGCCAGATAAAAACTCGGCACCACCTGGGCTACAGGGCTCCGTCTCACGTTTTCATGAGGAACGGTAAGGAAGCAAGGGGCTCTCTTCAAATTTTAAGAAAAATTCCTTTCCAGAGGTTGTTCACTTTTCTAGATTAAGTGCACGGGCAATACTGCAGCAAAAGGAAAAATGCCAAGGGCCTGCCTCCCCCTGGGGCCGAGTGGGAAGGAAACCTAGAACCATCTGCGAGGTGAGAACGAAAGAAGACGGTGCACGGGACCCTGGCTAGGCATACGGTGTCACGACCCAGCTGACGTTCCCATTACACCACGAGAGCGATGCGGTTTGGGGGAAAAGAGTTTAATGTATTGCTCAGGAAAGAAATAGCCCGTATCCCGCCATCGCCGAAGCAGCGGCGTTACGAGGTCCAGCGCCACCACGCCACCTTCATCCTGTCCCACACGGCCGACAGAGAGTCCAAGGCAGGCCGGACGTCCAGGATGGTGAACTGGTAGTCCTGATTGACTTCGCCACCGTCGTAGTAGTCGATGATGTACCTGACTTCAGTCCCGCAGCGGTTGATGATCCAGTCGTGCCTGTCGAAAGGCAGCTCGTACCTGAAATGAAAAGATGCTCATGAGCGTGGAAGCGCTCGTTCTCGAGGTCAAACACCCAAGAGGGGAGGAGAGCCTCGGAGGTTGGTGTGCCGCGCCGGAGGGGCCGCGCCGAGCTCAGCCCGGGTCAGGTGACGGCTCGCTCATCTGCAGAGCAGTCCAGTCAACAGAAAAGAGACCCGGGCCAGGCAGGTCCCAGGAGGCACTGCGGCGATCCAAGCGGGAGCGGAGTCTGTCTACGCTGCAGAAACAGAGAGGGGCGCCGAGTGCTCAGATGCACAGAGGCCCCGGGAAGGAGCGAGAGGCCAGATCCGAGATCACGGAGGACGAGGCTACTCTGCGCTACGAGGATCAGGCAGGGGATCAGGCAGGGGACAACCTCCAGAACCCCGATCTGCCAGGGGCTAGAGCAAGCAATCTGCAGCGAAACACGGAGTTTTGCAAGACGCAGCCGGAGTCCCGAGGCTGTTTGCCTTCAGGGCCAAGAGAAAGCCGGTCCTGACCCGGGGCGCGTAAGTGAGCTCTTGTGCACCGGCACTCACCCCATCCAGGAACGAATTCTCGCCCTTGGTGAGTACTCTTTCGCTTTACCTCCGAACCGGACCAACGACGGGCCACAAGGACACTCCCTAGAAATTCCCAAACGAGAGAAGCCCGTTAAAATGTTTCTCCCTCTTTGAGAAACGTCATGTTGCAATTTCTCAACATCACACGTTTCTCTGTATGAGTTTTATATGTCACATTTACAGTGTGCAAGAACTTTGAAAACAGAAAATTCAGAGAAATATCCCTATGCTCTTTATTTCTGGGTCAAGTCTGCCCCTCCTCCCCCCGCCTTCCACTTCATTCCAGATATCTGCGCCGTTCTTTGCAGGCGTCAGGAAATGGACTTTCCATGTGGTGCAAAGGGAAATGTTCTCAGGAAAAAGAAAAAGAAATGTCAAGTGCTGGGCATGACACTTCTCTTTCACACGCTGCAGCTGGGTTTTTTTTTTTTTTTTTTTTTTAGACGAATAGAAGAAAATCCTACTCTTCTTTCATTTGAAACCAATGAACACAGCCTTTATGAAGAAAACTGCCGGCTGAATCCTTTGGAACAAATGAAATCTGCATCGGGCCGGCTCCTCATGCCAGGAAATACGAGAGGCCGCCCGTCTTGTTAGCTGCTGTCCTGTCGCCGTCAGGACAGGCTGCAGCCCTAGTGACGTGGGGGGTGGGCTGGGGAAGGAAACCAGCCCCAGTGTAACCGAGCCCCACCCGAGGCCCATCTGAGCTACTGTACTTCCCTTACGAACCACTCACTAGCACCTCTTCTCGAGAGGGTCGCCAGCAAAGAAGGAAACTCAACCCAGGCAAGCTTTCTCCTGGAGGCCATAGCACGTGTCATTAAAGTGCCAACTTAATTTTGGGGCGCCTGGGGGGGCTCAGTCGGTTAAGCATCTGACTTTGGCTCAGGTCATGATCTCATGGTTCGTGGGTTCGAGCCCCACGTCGGGCTCTGTGCTGACAGTTTGGAGCCAGGAGCCTGCTTCAGATTCTGTCTCTCTGCCCCTTCCCTGCTCGTGCTCTTTCTCTCTCAAAAATAATAAACATTAAAATTTTAAAAAAGGCCAACTTAATTTTGAGGGACCCCAGAAAATGACTAGGAGGGGGGTGAAACTGACCAAGTATATTCTCCTGGTCCCTCACTGCCCACAAAGTCCCACTACTAGTAGCTGGCAGGTGGCTTTCAGCCAAAGTCCCTGAAGACACTCGTGGGTGGCTTCGTTAGCGACTCGGGAACACGGCTCCTGCCGGTCTCGGGTGACCGAGGGGGACCCTGGGGGCTGTGCCATTCCATCCTCACACGGGCCCCTCCCAGGCCGGGTGCCCAGCCAGTAACGCCCACAGGGGGCTGATAATAAGCCTCAGAGTCCAAATATTTAAAAAAATGGGACCCTTAATGAAATTGTTAGGTGGACTTTAGCCAAGAAGTTAACCCCATTTTATCACGAATTTAAAATGTAATCCACCAATGAGGATACAATCTGGCTTTCGGTGCAGACATCCCACACCTCTACCGTTCTCACGGCGGACTCGGCAGACTGGAGGCATCTCTCTCTCTCTAGAAATGACAAGTCAGGGCCTCACTCCAGACCTACTGAATTTGAAGCCCTGGGGCTGGGATCCCCCAGCCTGCAGTGTTTCAGCAAACCCTCAGGTGGTGCTGGCTCTGCCCAAGGGCGAGGACCACGGCTCCCACATGCTGCCGGCCATCACTGCCAACAAACAGTGCCTGCTGCACCTTAACCCCCCCCCCGCCCCCGTCACCCCCCAGTCACCCGATGAGTGAGTGGTCCAGGCTGCAGAGGACTCCAGCCCACCCCTGATCAGAGCCTGGCTGAGGGCCTAGACATGGGGAGCGCAGAGGTGAGCCTTCTGCCCTTGGGACCCACCGAACCCACCAGCATCGTAAAATGGTTGCTGTTTCACACAGCTGGGTGGGCGTGTCACACCAGTCACTGAAACAGGCCAGCCACCTAAAATGCTGCATTAGAACAGCACACGGACTACAACGTTAAAACTCTGGAAAGCAGAGGCCACATAAGAAAGATTACGGAAAATTGTGTAAAATCTCAAACAGCCTTACGCAGCATGAAGGGCTTCCCACTTCAGAATCTCCTTCCAGGCTTGCTCGTTATTCTGATTGTGGATTCTGATGATGTTATACATGTCTCTCTGACTAATGTCGTCGTCCTTCCATTTCCACCTAGGCAAGGACATTGGGGAGAACTTGATAAACATGACCCGTCACGGCATAAAGTCAATCCACACATCCATTTCACCGAGTCCCCAAAAATCACTTGCACACAGCTCAAAGAACCATAAAGTGACACTTTTTTGGTCAGTACGATTGACTAACTTTTCCTAAGTACTTCACATAACAGTTTTTTTTTTAACATTTATTACTGACTATAATAAGTTAATCTCCTGTGTCAAGCTGATCGGGCCATGAGGGGCCCAGCTATTTGGTCAAACATTACCGAATGTTTGGGTGGGTCTGTGAGAGCGTTTTGGAGGAGAATAAGCTTTCAATGGGTAAAACACATTGCCCTCCTTAATGTGGGTGGGCCTCATCTGATCAGTCGAAGGTCTAAATAAAACCAGAAGAATGAGCCTCTTGCAAACAGGGAACTCTTCTTACTGCCTAACTGCCTTCAAACTGGGATACTGGTTTCTGTCCTGCCTTTGGGCTGAAATGAAAACAACAGTTCTTGGGTCTCCAGCCTGCTGGCTGCAGATGGTGGGACTTCTCAGCCTCCACGATCACGTCAAGTCAATTCCTTACAAGAAATGTCTTTACATCTATAAAGACACACACACCCTGTTAGTGGTTACTCTGGAGAATCCTGACTAATACACTGGCCTTGCGCTTGCATTCTTGTAGGGCTGAAAGACCGGTTGAATGTTCTACACCAATGAGCTTATGAAAATTTACTACATGTTTTGGGGATAAAAACCCCTTTAACATTTAATTCTCCAATGAATTTGATAACCAAATTTACACGCACAGGAATGCCTACTCACCCTTTCCGTAGCATCGCATTCCAGAACATCTGTTCAGAAGGATAAACCCAGTTTTTCTCCGAATCTGCTCGCGGGATGGATGACTCCTCTCTCACCGTAGACAGCGCAAATGGCTGATCAGGGGCCGGCATCTGGTTAGGTGGCGGCATCTAAATAAGGCGAGCAGGTTTTTAAATGTCAGAAATAGATAGAAAGTAGAAACCAGCCACATACCTGACGACTTTCTGGAAGGCGATGCATCACACACAAGAGGCAGGTTCCCTAGAGCAAGCCAGTGACGTCACGATTTCCAACCTGCCAGACCATTTGGCTGTTCTGAAGAGTCACAGTTCTAAAGCTGTTTTCCTGGTTTAAGTTCTCACAAATGGTAGGTGCACACTGTGGTTAGGTTTTCTCTCTCCTTCTCCCCAAGGATTAAGAAGTAAAAATGAACACCCTGTTGCAGACATTTCTAAAGCCCTTTCTCTGATGGGCTCTTCAAAAAATGTCCGCTCTTCCAAGGAAAAGTCTCAGCAAATACATGAAGACCACCACTTTCTTTTCACATGTTCTTTGCTTGTATGACTTTGCTGATGCTTTCAGTGTTTGGGCTGAATACCTTGGAGCGGAGCAGCGAGGCCAGCGCACTGGCAGACCGGAAGGAGGGCAAGAATCCTCCCCCAGACACAAAAGGCAGCAACGGAGTCGTGCGAACCCTTTCCCTGTACCAGGGGCTCTCACCCCGGGCACCACTGCCACTTGGGGCCGGACAACTTTCAGTTACGGGGGTCTGTTCTGAGCACTGTAGGACATCTGGCGACCTCCCTCATCTCCACCCAGTAGTACCCCTCCTCCCGAGTTGTGACAACCAACGCCTCCCGGCGCGAAGATCGCGCCTGGTTGAGAACCCCTGGCCCAGAACATTTTTTTGCGCTCAAAGTACGCGGGATTTTCTAGCAGATCCACATCTATTAAGTCACAACACAGGCCCTGGTTAGACTGATGGCAGCGGGAGAGGCGGGTATGCTGGGCACCACAGTGCACCTGACCTGCGCTGTCAGCACAGGGGGTTTAGGGACTCCCGGCAGAGGCAGGTGGGATTCAGCTTGGGATCTGGCACGTCCTAGCAGAGTGATGGGGGGCAAACGGCATACTCGCTCCTTCTCAGTGGCTTCAGCTCTAAGAACGGGGACACTAAGGCCACTGGGGACACAGGACGGTTGTGCGGGTTACTCCGAAGTATGTACGGCACTTGGCATGAGGGCTTCGGATGCGGCCAAAAGAAACGCTGGCTGTTATTAGTTCCTGTTCTTGCTACATGTGACAATCCCAAGGGGTAAAGAGTCTAGGTCTGTGGGATTCCAAAGGCCTATGTTCTGGACCACGAGGCTATCAGAGTGCCTTCAACAGCAGTCTAATGGGGGCACCTTTAGAAATGTCTGGAGACACATTAGGTTGACATGACAGAGAAAAGAGGGTGCTGTGGCATCTGGTGGGTACAGTCCAAGGAAGCTGCTACGTATCATACGGAGCGCAGGACAGCCCCCGCCACAGGGAACCGGCCCGCCTCCATGCCAATGGTGCAAAGGCGGAGAGGCCCCGACCCTGTCCACCTTCCTCCTCAACAAAGCAGTTTCCTTAGAGTTTGCAGGGTCATTACTGAGTGCTGGGGCTCCATGTTTGTGTCCCAAATTTCCTGAAGCTGCTGGCACCTTCCAAGAGGACTTCTCAGCCTCTGGAACTGGGAGAATAAATGTCTGTACGAGCCACCCAGTTGCTGGTATTTTGTTCTATCTGTTATAATACACACGCGCGCACACACATATCCCCCAGCCCTTCTCTTCCAGACTAAGGATTTCTAGTTCCTTCAAATGTTAGCCAAGATTTCTAAGTACTCTTGGTAACCATGGCCTTCTAACAACCCTGTTCTGGCCTTCCAAACTACAGATCTGAGGGGCACCTGGGTGGCTCAGTTGGTTAGGTGTCTGACCTCGCTCAGGCCATGATCTCAGACTTGTGGGTTCAAGCCCCACGTCAGGCTCTGTGCTGACAGCTGAGCCTGGAAGCTGCTTTGGATTCAGTGTTTCCTTCTCTCTCTGCCTCTCCCCTGCTGTCCCTCTCTTTCAAAAATAAACATTAAAAAAAATTAAAAAAGAAAAGAAACTACAGATCTGAACCTGCCTGTCTGTCGCTCCGTTAAAATGTGATTCCAAACAGGAAACCTCCACTCCCTGCACTATCACAGAATGTACCGAGGCCATGCTTGTCTTACCCTTGCTTTGCCAGGGCCATCCCGCTGGTGGCTGCCACGTGACCCTTGTACCACACCAGTGACTCTCACGCGGGCTGGCACCCAGCTGTGCTGGAAAAAGCGCCCTCATCCGGCCTCACGCCTAGGTTTCCCAAGACTAGAACTACCTTTACCTGTACTAGCTGCACTCCTGATGGGACTTCCCCCGCCTTCTGCTTTTCCCTGAAGGAAACGCTCCTTCGGCGCGGCTGCCTTCCATCCAGCCTACTCTGGTGCCTGGTGGGCACAGTTCTCTTTTTCAGGCACTCTTTGAAACCATACTTAGTGATGCATTCTAGATTTTCAGAGTGGATGGAAGATGAGACTTCTATATTTTAAGAGGAAGAGAGACTCAATCCTAGCAGTCCACAGTGTGTCGTGGGGAGTCCACAAAGGCACCTCCATATGGGAAGTTCTGGGGAGCGGGGCCGAGCGTGAATTACCAGATTAGAAGGGTCCAGGTTCTCCTTCCTGTCGGCCACAGCGCCCGTAACGGGGCATTGCACGTACTCATATGCGCGGTCTTGGTGGGCAGGCACTGAGCTCGTTTTGTTCTCACAAGCTGGGTCAGATGGCTCTGCGCTCACTGGACAGCCTGAAACAAAGTATAAAAAGTGTCACCCCAGAGGCAGGACATCTGGCTCTTTCTTAAGAGCTGGATTTCTGACCAGTGATCACCATCAAAGGCAAAGCCAGGTGTCTGCTGTTTCAAGCTGCCAAGAGCTAAGCTAGCTAACATTCTAATATCCAAACGACCAGGAGAAAGTTCTGTATATTTATTCTCCCTGTGAAAGAGAATGGGTACCAGCTCCCTTATTGTGTCACGCCCTCAGCAAAACTAAAACAAAAAACAAAAAAATCTCAACATTTGCAAGGGGATGTATCGTGCATCCCACGGTTTTGATAGTGGGCTAGAAGGTACCTGCTCGGGCTCCCAGCAGTGTGCTGTTGTGGAGGAACCTGGTGGGGGCCCAGCCACGTTGTACCAAATCTCCCTGACTTTCTACTCACAAGCTCCAGAAAAGGCCCCGCCCCGATCAGGACACAAGAGGCCAGGCTTCCTGATGCCTTCTCTCAGGTACCGGACACAGGTGATGAAAATGAGCAGAGGAGCTTCAAAGAGGCTCCTGGAGAAAAGTCTGAAGGCCACTCTGCTTGTGCTTTGCTGTGGGATGGAAACAAGGCATAGGACCCCCTGGCCAAGGTTCTATTCCTCATCGGTAGATGGCAAGTGTTTAGCAAGAAAAGGCATATATTAAAGAAAATGGTCCACAATCCATGCTGGATCCAGATGCCACTTCAAAGGGCAGGTCTGAACCTCCAAGAGCAGAAATGAGAAGGGCAGTTGATGCCCAGGGATCCAGGGTGCTGATGGAAGCACGTGCGGGCACCGAGAAGCTGGTCTTAGACTCAGGGGAGGAGCCGGCACCAGAAGAGCCAAGGCCCGGGAAGACAGCGGCCCAGCACAAATCCCTCCGTCAGGCAGCAGCGCTGACACCAAGAATGTGCTGGATGACCTACACACCGAAGACAAGTTTCCTTTTACTTCCAGTCCTTTGCTTCTCCCCCCAAACCCTCCTTCTCTCTAGGACCTCGTATCGCTGTGCACTTGAGGCCTGAAGGGAGACCTGCTATACTACCTTTCCTCTCTACCATTCAAGGTGCCAATCTTTTCTGGGTCACTGATCCCAGCCGCCTGTGAGAAAACACTGTCTACATTTCTCATAGGACCAGTAGCCCCTTTAGTCACCTACAAATATCCGCTTTCTTTACTAATGTAAAGAAATTGGACCGACAGCTCTTCAGGATACACGGTATGTGAAATCAAAGCCTGTTCAGGGCTCTGTGATCTACTCAGGGACGCTCAGAGCAGGAATACACCTGCCTCGTCTGCATTTGTCTCCATTCTTGTCGTACGGAGAAACCCTGAAAGGGCACTGGGTCTAACCTTGCCCAAGGTCACGGAGTTGCCACTTGTTAGCAGTGAGACTCTTAAATTTCCCAAATCAGAGTGCCTGGCTGGTTCAGTCGGTTGAGCGTCCGACATCAGCTCAGGTCCTGATCTCACGGTTTGTGGGTTCAAGCCACGCATCTAGCTCACTGCTGTCATTTCGGAGCCCACTTCAGATCCCCTGTTCCTCTCTCTCTCTGCCCCTCCCCTGCTCATGCTCTCTCTCAAAAAATAAATAAATAAATTAAAAAAAAAGTTTCCCGAACCATAAAACAGGGAGATTTTATCTCCTACCACGCAGGATTATGAAGATAAGAATGTAAACTCCATTGGGCCAAAGATTTTTGTGTTCTATTCGTTGCTGTTCTCTCAGTGCAAAAACAAACAAACCCCACCAGTGCTTGGCACGGAGTGGGCAGTGTGTAAATTCTTGCCAACCGACCACGGGAATGAAAGACTACAAGGCAAGGAAGGGTTTTTCAGGTCTTACGTTTATGTAAACCTAGGTCTAACGCGGATGCAGACCTGTGGGGAATGAAAGACATCGTTTCCTTTCTCACCTCTGCACCTCAGGAAAGAACAGCAAGGCCGTAAGTGATGACTTACGTTTACACAGATGAATACTGCAACAGATGTCGGAGTAAAGTTGCCTTGACGAATACAGACAGCGAGCTCTAGGCCAAGGCTTCTCAACCTCAACAGTCTTGACATTCGGGGCTTCTACTCACTACACGCACCACCTCCTCTCAGTTTTGACAAACAAAAATGTTTCCAGACGCTGCCACATGTCCCCTGGGGGGTAAGGGGTTGCCACCCAGGCTAAGAAGCGCTGATGGCAAACTTTGGGGGGTAAGGGCTAAGGTACGGAGCAATCACTCCATGCTCACGCATTATCTTAACTAATTGTCACAACAAACCTGTGAAATGGTCTTGTATCCTCAGCTTCCAGGTGACGGGTTGAGACTTAGAGAAGGAACTTATCTACAGTCACATATGTTTTAAGGGGCACCGTAAGACGCAACTCACTTGGCCTCACTAACGGGATGCGTTGTCTCTTCCTTAAGATCCTTCTGGAAATTCTTTATTTTTTTCTAGACAAAGAGTCGATTACCTTTCATTTTCCCTTCGTGCATGGGACATCCTGAAGGCGGGGATGCTGTCTGATGATCTGAAGCATTTGCCGTCTTAACTGCAACAGCAGGAGTAGACGCCGACAAACCCATGGTGGGAACCGCGGGGCGGAATCCAAACAAGCCTAAACTCACATGTGCCAGAGCAAAGAGACCGATTAAGGCTGTGGCCTGGGCTTTGACCACTCCCTTGGCATTCTTTTTTTTTTTTTTAATAGTTTATTGTCAAGTTGGTTTCCGTATAACACCCAGTGCTCATCCCCACAAGCGCCCTCCTCCATGCCCATCACCCCCCACCTGCTCCCCCACCCCATCTGCCCTCAGTTTGTTCTCAGCATTCAAGAGTCTCTGATGGTTTGTCTCCCTCCCTCTCCCCTACTATTTTTCCCCTTCTTCTCCCCCATGGTCCCTTGGTATTCTTAATCTGCCAAACCCTCGTTCCTCCCCTTTGTTATCCTGATGTAAATCTACAGGGCACGATATCCACTGTGAGGAACAGCTTTAATACACTAACCCCTTTAGGAAATAGTAGTGTGAAATCTGCACCACACCACTCTTTAGACGCGCGTTTCTAAAATGAGCGGATTTGGGGGCTGAGGTGAGGGTACCCCTGAGAAACTACACCACAGAGAAGGGGGTGTAGGTCTGGGGAGCAGGGGGGTCCTCAAAGTGGTGATCCAGATCGGGAGAGGGGAGCGCAGACCAGAACCCGAGACCCGGGCTTTAGCCAAAGACTGAGAATGAGGGAAGGGTACGGGGCAGAAAAGGGATTCGAGAAGGAAGGAAAGGACCGCGGACGGGAGGACGCGGCCGAAGTCTTCTTCACACGGTCCCGGCGTGTCTCACCCGCTCCAGTCCTGGGACCCCAAAACCCACCGGCCTCGGCCAGTCTGCCCCTCCGCACCTGACTCCAGTCCCGGGCCGCTCCGAAGAGCCGGCCCGCTTCTAAACGCTAGCCCGCCGCCTCGCCGCCGCCGCCGCCTCCTTCTCCTCGCTCGGTCACCGTTGTCTTCGCGGTCACCGCTGGCGTTCGAGCGCACCGCTACTTCCTTTTCCGAAGGCGGGACTTCCGGGCGCGCGGGAGGCGGGGCGCGGGCTGAAGAGGAAGGGCTTCCGTCGATCACACAGGCGCGGACTCCGCCCCCTCCCACCTCGACCTATAGGCGCGGGGGCCGCTCCCTGGCCCCGCCCCTCCAAGCCAGCGCGGGTCGGAAGAGTTAAGGCTGGGCCGGAGACTTCTCTAGAGTGAGGTTGTCTGCTATGGCTCCTTTAAGCCGCAGAGGGGCTGCTTTGGAGAAGTTAGTTTTAAAATTTCCATCTTTTAAATTGCATCCCGTCAGTTTTAGTTATAGCCGTGACTCAAGTAATATCAGTAGGTGGCCCACTCCGGAGATCCCAAAACGAACAAATCAAGGTTCCGGCTGCCAAGGCCTTCTTAACTGGGTGTGTGGACTCGAAGGTCTGTATTTTCACTTACCTCTAAGAGAAATTTAGTATTTTTTTTCCCGTAAGGAATGCAGGCAACAAATCCTAGTAGTGTTGGCTATATGTGGCACTAACAGGAGTTACAGAGGAATTATGTCCTAAATGATGGGGGTTTCTGTCTTAAAATAGTATTCATCGCTACTTTGAAATGAAGATCGTTTAATCCTGTTACTTAAAAAGTGTTAATAAGAAGCATCTGTCTATCTGTATTAATCCGCCCTCAGGGCGGGGCAGGCCACCTCCAGGGTGCTGGGGGTGTTAGCAGCTGAAGCCACTGGGCTGGGTCTCTTTCCAGGAATCGCCCACAGCCAAAGAGAGGTGCCTCCGGCAAAAATCACATCCTCTCCCTGGAGGTGGACTGCAGCCTTTGAGTGGTCTCTGCAAGGCTACAGAAGCCCCAGGCCCTAGCCTCAAGGGCAGTAACTTGGAAGAGCCATCCCAGCTTCAGGGGCTGAGGCTCTGTTGTGACTGCCTCACATCCAACTTCTCCCTTTGCCCAGACCTTCTGTCACTCTCATTGCTGTTTTCAAGAGCACTCCTGGCACGAATCTTGGAGCCTCAGCCATTTTAATAAGTTTCATTATTATTATTTAGATTTGGTGAAGTCAACAGATCAGGAAACAACTGCCATTGGAAATACAGTTTATTATATTCAGAGACCCCAAGAGAAGGAGTACATGTCACACCTTGGGGTGCCACGTGTATCAGCGCTACAGTCCTTCATGAGCCAGAGGGAGAGGGGGGACCTGGGGGCAGGAGCCTTTATGATGGTGTCCATGGGAAGAAATAGGTGAGGCAGGGTAAGCAGATTCAGGATTGGTTAACTTGAATGATCTCAGCAGGCCCTGGAGCACAGGGCGGGTGTCTAGTGGCTCAGAGTACGAGAGCCCAACAACACTTGGTCGACAGGTGTAGATTTAGCTGCTTAAGAAGGGGAGCTGACCGGCCTCTCTAGCCGGGGCTTCCAAACTGGCTCAAGACAGCATATTAAAAACCATATTTCCTGGGGAAAATGCATATTTCCTGGGCAGCCGGATCTTTAACGATCAAAATCTGCTTTTCTAAAATCTGTTGATAACTGCATTTCAATATCGTCTATTTCTTTAATAATTTCTTGTAGTTTGTTTTATGCATGTAAAAATATGATTCTGAGAAGATACTCGTAGATTTCACAGTCCAAAGGGGCCTATGGCACCAAAGGGCCCAAAACCCTTTGGTAATGGGAGAGACCCACGCAGACAGATGTAAACATATTGACATCTCAGTGCAAGTATGCGCAGACTGGTGGAGGCTAAAGGGAAGAAGTGACTGTTACAGGGTTGATGTGCCGGAAGTGCTTGCGAAGGAAAGTAACAAGGATGCTTTATAGAGTAGGAGCTACTGAACAGGGCCAGGGCGTTAACGGAGAGCTGTAGGTGGGTAGGGAGACTGGGGGGTGGGGGGCACTTTCAACCCCAGCTCCCATTCTTCCCAGGCAAAGACTTACTGCTCTTTAACTCTTTCTTCTACTTTTCCATCCGTGTACCAAACAACACGCGGACACAAATACACGCGTCCCTCCCCTATGCCAATACTTAATCTGGTTTGGGATACATCACAGTTTAGCATTTACATTACTGTGATGATGAAAATATTTGTGATGACCAAAGATGAATTTTTTCTTGTACAGCTTTTTCAGTAGAATTCAGTACTTGCGTCCGCCCCGCCCCCCCCCATTGTCTTTTTGATTTTTTGGTTATTTCCAAGTTTCCTGTCTGCATTGTAAATCTCCTCTCAATGCATTTAAATATATCAACTAATGTCTGTTTCCTTTTTTCTCTTGGAGATATGGGAACTATCTCACAGATAAGCCCCTCACCTCTGCAGCTGCTCAATTCTAAATTGTTTGGAAATGACTTCTGCCCATAGTCTTCTTGGGATTTCTTTTCAACCCTTTACTATCCTTTGCTGGATCTCTGGCTCTTGGATACCATGTATTCTTTTTGGCATTGTTTCGGGAGCGAATTGGTTTTTGAGGTCTTGAAAATCAGAAGCTGTGTTTCACCCTCCCAGTTACTTGGTAGTTTGGAAATATAAATCTAGGTTTAGAAGCATTTCTCTCAGAATTGTTAGGCAGTTACTTCAGTGTCTTTTAGTTTCCATTGTTGATGTTGAAAAGTCAAATGTCATGTTTTTTTCATCCCGTCAACAATATTTTGAACTTTCTTCCAGTGGCTAGAAAAGATGTGCCTTGATATAGACCTCTTGCTCTCATTGGCTTGACACTTGATGGGACCATTCATTCTGGAAGCCCGTAACCTTCATGTTGGGGATATTTTCTTGGATGATTAATTTTCTTTAACTTGGCTCCACTCCTACTCTCTTCATTCTTTCTTTTAAGGAACCTCTGTTACTTGTATGTTGGATTCCTAGACTGACACTCTAATTTCCTTCGGTTATCCTATCGCTTTTTCATCTCGTTTTATTTTTTATAAGGTTTAAAATTGTGTCCAGCCATAAATACTAGTTTATTTCTGTTACCGCGTTTGAAATTTCCAAGACATGTGTGCACATATGTGTGTATATGTGCGTGTTTGTGTGTGTGAGTATATTTGTGTGTGTGAGTATGTGCCTGTGTGTATACATCTGCCTCTACAAGGCAGAGCGTGTGGGTTTGCCCATGGTCATGTGATCTGAACTCCTGCTTTCAGACCCAAGGGTTTAGCAGAGAGGAAAAATCGAAGCTCTTTTGAAATTACAAACTGAATTTATGACTGGTTGTAGTAAATTAAATCTCCTTTCCAAACCTACCTTTGCTTTTGTTTACAAAGTGCTGCTTTCGTAGTTTTTAGAGTTCCCACATTTTCTGTCTTGTGCACTATTCTCCTTTTCCCACATGATTCCCTGATTCTTTTATAATTCTCCATCTCTCCCACAATTCTCTACTCTCCCCTGATTCTCTGCCCTCTCCTAATCTTCCTCCTCTTCACAGTTCCCCAGTTTGTCCCCAGTTCCCTCTCCAACAGTTCTCTGTCCCTTCCCAGAATTCCCCACCTCCCATGTCTCCCACAATTTTGTATCATCTCCCACAATTCCTCATCTCACACAATTCTCTGTTGTTTCCTGTAATTCTCTGTTTCTTCCATAACTCCTCGTCTTTCCCACAATTTTTGTGGCAGGGTTTTAAACAATTTTTGTTAGTTGAGATATAATTGACATATAATGTTCTATTAGTTTCAGGTGTGAAACATAATTATTGGATATACATAAATACTGTGAAATGTTCATCGCAATAAGTCTAGTAACATCCATCACCACAGAGCTGTTAACTTTTTTCCTTCTGATGAGAACTTTTGAGATCTTTCTTAGCAACTTCAAATATACAAGACAGTATTGTTAACAATAGTTGCCAGGAGTGCTGATGCATAGGGGCACATGGACCCCAGTGTTCACAGCAGCGCTCTCAACAATAGCCAAAACCTGGAAAGAACCTAAGTTGTCCATCAACGGATGAATGGATCAAGAAGATGTGGTTTATCTATATGATGGAATACTACATGGCAATGAGAAAGAATGAAATCTGGCCATGTGTAGCAACATGGATGGACCTTGAGGGTGTCATGCTGAGTGAAATAAGTCAGGCAGAGAAGGACAGCTACCATATGTTTGCACATGTAGGTGGATTAGGAGGAACTTAATGGAGGACCGTGGGGAAGAAGAAGGGGAAAATAGTGGGGGAGAGGGAGGGAGGCAAAGCATGAGAGACTTTTGAATGCTGAGAACAAACTGAGGGCTGATGGGGATGTGGGGGGGAAGGGGGTGATGGGCATGGAGGAGGGCACTTGTGGGGATGAGCACTGGGTGTTATATGGAAACTAACTTGACAATAAACTATTAAAAGAAAAAAAAAAAGAAATGGAACAATAGTTGCCATGCTGTACGTTCTATCCTCAGCACTTAATTTATTTTATAACTGGAAGTTCATCCCATTTGACCACTTTTGTCCATCTCACCCCATCTCCGCATCCAGCCTCTGGCAACCACCAATCTGTTCTATGAGTTTTTTATTTGTAGATTCCACATATAAATGGGATCATACAGAATTTGTCTTTCTTTGTCTGACTAATTTTGCTGTGCAAAATACACTTACGGTGTATCCGTGTTGTCACACGTGTCAGGATTGCCTTTTATATGGCTGAATAGTATTCCAGTGCATGTGTGTGCATGTGTGTGTGCGTGCGCACATGCACGTGGGCGTTATATATTTTTTTTAATCCACATGTCCACCGATGGACGCCTGGTTCGCTTTCATGTTTTGGCTATTGTAAATAATACTGCAGTGAACAGAAGAGTGCATGTATCTTTTTGTGTTAGTCATTTCCTTTGGATAAATACCCAATGGAATTCCTGGATCATAGGGAAGTTCTTTTTTTTTTTTTTTTTTTTTTTTAATTTTTCAATGTTTATTTTTTTTTGAGAGACAGAGCATGAGCGGTGGAGTGGCAGAGAGAGATGGAGACACGGAATCTGAAGCAGGCTCCAGGCTCTGAGCTGTCAGCACAGAGCCTGATGTGGGGCTCAAACCCACAAACCGTGAGATCATGACCTGAGCCGAAGTCAGATGCTCCACCAACTGAGCCCCTCATAGGTGCCTGGATCATAGGGAAGTTCTATTTTTAATTTTCTGAGACACCTCCATAATGTTTTCCATAGTGGCTACATCAGTTTACCTTCAGCAGTTTACAAGGGTTCCCTTTTCTCCACATTCAGCATGTTGTTTCTTGTCTTTTCGAGAGTAATCATTCCAACAGATAGATGTGAAGTGAAATCTCACTTGGGCTGATTTGCATTTCCCTGATGATTGGTGATGTTTAACACCTTTTCCTGTTCCTGTTGACCATCTGTATGTCTTCTTTAGGAAAATGTCTATTCAGTTCTTCTGCCCAGTTTTTCACTGGATTTTTTTTTATTTGGTTGGGTTGTATGAGTGCTGTA